CAAAACCTTGCCACACAGACCTGTTACACATTGGTTTTGTGTTCATGGAAATTCAATTTGTGGTACTGGGTTTTTTTATTTAAGAAAAGAAAAAAAAAAAACCCAAACTCCCAAACAAACAAAAAAGGCCAACCCCCAAACACCAAAACAAGAAAACCTTTATTATTGTTAACAAAATATGCTTTGGAGGTGCTTGCATGGATTTGTTTACAAGTTTCTGTATAACAAGCAAGATATGGCTTGCTATGGAAGGGTGGTATCTAATCTGTTGCATTCACCTAGTTCAGTAAACGTGGGGGTTTACTGTTCCGTAATCAGTTACTTTTTTCACTTAATGAGAATTTACCCTTAGTGTGTCTTTTCTAATGTTTATTTTTTGGAGTATGAGTATATATGCACATGCTCAAGTGAAGGTGATTACAAGGTATCACCAGCAGGGCAAGTAGAGAAATGTTATCTCAGACACTGTGATGTGCCAGTGCAGCTCTATTTCCTCACTGGCCAGCTCAGGTCTAAAAGCAGCCTAGGTGCTTTTGTGTGATGCAGAGCTCCAATCAACTCAATTGATGCAGTGTCTCAATGTTCTGTTTCTAGAACTGAGAGCACCAGAGAGTGCAGACACTAAAACGGTTATCTAGAGAATCAGTTTGGTTTCAGCAGGGCTTCTTAATTTTGACACAAGAGTTAGTGCTTTTCCAGGCACAAGCTGGTTGTGTCTTTGTACACAGCCCGGTACAGTTAGCTCAAGTGCAATATTAGAGGAATAAGTGGAAGTAGCTTATGTCCTCCACTAAGCATAATGTAATAATTCTTTGCAGAACTTTAAGCACTGAATAGTGTCTGGAAAATACATATGAATATTTTTTCACGTGGGCCGACTCTAGCAGCTGAAATGGAGCTAACTGCTTGGCTGTAGTTTCCTTAATGGATCCAAATAAATGTGTCTGCCCTGAGCTTTCTAAGTGTATCCTGTAGTGTCTGTATTATGGAAACTTTTTTCCATTATCCTGGGTATCACAGCCCTGTGATTACTTCAGGAATGGAATACCAACTAGTAGAAGATGTACCAGAACCAAGGTGGTTCACATAGCTCTAAACTGCATTAGCAAAAATGTATTGTATAACTTATTTTTCAGCATGTGTTTCTATTATTATATGAAGCGTAATTGCAATCTTTACACATAAGACATCTTACACTTCCTATTTTCTGTATTTGTTTAACATTTTTAAAGCTTTCCAAGTTTTAAAGTGTGCACATACATATATATGTATGTGCGTATACGTGTGTGTGTATATATATATGTATGTGTTACTGGCCACTAAGCTGCACTGAGTATGACATTGCTAAGATGACATTTATTTTAATATCTTAATATTTTACACCTAATTAGGGGGGGAAAATACCCCAAATATTCATGACAAGAGTATTCAAGTGTAAGTTGTGTAAGTTTTAATCTTAAGTACCTAAGGTAAATATGCTTTTTATTAAACATTTTGAAAGGATTTGAAGAAAAGCAAATGGAAGGTTCCTTCTGTGTGTGAAAACACCAGTGCTAACGCGAAATGCAATAACCACGTATAAACTCGGTAGCTGTGACTGTGCTATAATGTGTTTTGCATAGGTAAGACAGATTTATACAACTTTTGATAACAAAGACTAATACTCCATGTATCACTTTCAGCTCATGGCAGTTCCCAGTTGAGCAAGAGGAAGAAAGAGAAATAACCCCTAGCCCAAAATAATATATTTTCATAAAATTGAAAATCATATTACAGTTTAGATCCTTGTTCTGGATTAGTGGACCCTATAGAACTAAGTATCTGCTTTTACTTTTAGTTATTTAGATAAAATGGTGTGTATAAGCTTTTTCGTATGATTTTTAGGTCACAGGCAAGAAGTACTGGCAGTGTCTTGGTCCCCCCGTCATGAATACATTTTGGCGACAGCAAGGTAGGGATGTTGCTGGACAGCTGTATGCACTAAAAAAGTCTGATGGTAGAACTTTATATATTCATTATGCATGTTTTTAACAATTCAAAGGCACTTTTAAAGTTAAATCTTCATCATTTACTTGAACTTGTTTTGTAAGTCTTGTCTGGAAGAACTAAGCCTGAAGAGCTATCCGAGTGATGCTTATTTTATAGGAAGATTGTACAGAATTCTGAAATAGCAGTTGCATTTAAAGGTACAGGAAAATAATAGAGCATTATAGAGATACTTACTTATTACTGTTTATTAGTGTGCACATTCCTAATCTGTTTTATAACAAAGTAAAACATGTTTGGTGCCAAGTACCATCCTGGTTAATCATGCTTAATTATGTGAAAGAGCATAACTCGGGTAGCTCAGCTGTTGGGTGATAACTTTCCAAGCTGCAGTAATTCAGTGAGTATGGAAGTATGGATTGTACGTTGATACTCCTGGGCCTTTTTTGTTTTGTTGTTTTGGTTTTTTTTTTTTCATTCCAGCTGTTTTCAGTCTGAAAGATCCTCTTGACTTTCCTATAACTTTTGCATATGCTAGCTTTTTATTATAGTGTGACACTTCTCAGTTTCATGGTTGGCATGGTTTTTTCTTTTAAATTGCAGAGAGGAATGGCTATTTTGTAAGTTGAGAGTGAAATTTGAGTAAGTTGATACCTGAATTGCGTACCCTTGGCTTTTGATGCCAAGCTTCTGAAAGGTTCAGTGTAATTGAGAAATTTTCTAACAGTGTGATTTGTTTGTTTCAGCAAATGAAAAATTGTTTCCATGTTTTTCCATCACAGAAATAGTAGCAAATTTTGTTTATTAAATATTGTTGTCTCCCGAAACATTTTGCTTTGAAGTCATATAACTGTAAGCTGCATTTATTTATGTTGTCATGTTGCCTTATGATAATTGCATGCTAAACACATTCCTTATCACTCCGTTACTTCATTCAGTACTACAGTTGGACTGCTAGTTCCTAATAACATAACTCAGTTTTGCTATCTGCTAAGGCAAATATGGGCAAGAACTGGCAAGACTGAAGTAATGAAGAGATAGTGAGGAGAAACTGACTGGTACTGCTAAAAAGAGAATCTGGACTAATCTTGTGTATCAGGAGATGTGACTGTCTTCAAAGACAGCTGCATGTTTGCTTGCGATCACTTCAGGGGAGGGAAAATACATTTTGGGGTTTTATGTGGTTTGCATGTGAAATATGTTATTTCAAATTTCTCTGTGATGCTCAGCTCTTCTGTAGTCTTGGCAAGAGATTGGAATGGTCAGAGAAGAGACAGGTTTTCTGGGTGTCTTTCACACACTTCAGTTTTGGGCACTAGAGAGGATTCTAAGTTCTTTCTTTCTCATTTGAACTGGCTAGAAAAGATTCGCCAACAGAAACAGCAACATCAAAAATGGCCAACTGTAGGCTTTTATAATAAGGAAGTTCTTTCTATGCCTTTGTTAAGAATATTTCAATGAACTACCTGCAGTTTGCTCACTTTACAGTCGGCTCAAACCTCAGGAATGCTTATATTCACAGCCTTAGAATATTTGTTTGCAGCAAAGTAATGTATTGTGAACATACTTGGTTGGAATACCACTTGGAAGTTAACAGAATCAATCTGTATTGGAGGGAGGCACAAAAGAACAAATTGACCATTAGCTTTGTCAGATGCAGAACAGATAAGGAGTAACAGTTGGGTTTGCTTTGGTCAGTTGGTCTATGTATGCTATATATATTCCTAATACTAATGCATTGATTTAACTTGAGAACACACACTAAAAAGCATGTAGTACTTCAATTAGAAGACTACTTACCTAAGAAGCAGTTTGGGTATATTTTTCAGCTGTAGATCAAAGAGATGCAGTTGGTTTTGTTCAGCTGGCATGTAAAGTGACTTCTGGTTTTGTGGTGGTTTTTTGGGGGGTTTGTTTTTTGTGTCAAAAGGATAGTTAAGTTGCTGGGAACTGTCCCAGTAGTTTCAGTAAATGTGTCAACACTGGTGACTTAGTGCAGAGAAGTGGTCTTTTCTATGAATTTAACTCCTGTCTGTACCTGGGAGTCTAGTAGTGCACACAGAAGTATGCTACTGGAAAGCTGCAATCAAGCTGCACATCAAGGTGCCATACCAACTGCACTGCCTGCAATGTTGCTGTCTAAGGATGTACATAGTACCAACAGTTACTACAGCTTTTGTTGCTGGCAAAGACACAGTGTGAGCAAAGCATGAGCATGCAGCCTGGGAACCAGAATGAATCACAGCAGCCTGAACCTTGGTCTTTCCCTCCTTGTGCCACCCTGGTAATATAGACAAAGGCAGTGAGTTCCTACAGAGACTCAGTGTTTCTCTGCTGTAGCCCTGTGTGACAACGGAGTGTATAGACCCACCTGCTGTCTATGTTTAGCCTGTACCTGGGGCTAAACTGTAGCAGTTGCTCTATCACCCAACAGCCCTTCACCAGCCAGGGAGGGGAAGAGGGAAAAGTGAAGGAGACCTGTGTGTTGAAGTGAAAACAAATTTAATGAAACAGCACTAGTACCAGCAAAGATACACAAAGTCATACGCAGCCAAGCAAATATGCAGTGGTCACAATCAACAGGAGAGCAATCTTCAGGAGCAGCAAGAAGCCAGAGGAGCAGAAGGATCCCCAGCAGGACACCAGCCAGAACCCTGGCAGGAGCCTCACAGGAGCTCTCTTTCCTCAGCAAACCTTCCCGCCTTATAATGAGCATGACATTATGGTGCGGGCTATACCTGTAGCTCACTCAGGTCAGCTGCCCTGGCTGACTCAAAACTGCTAACAGCCTCCCTATCATGGGTGGCCTAGGATTCTGTCCCAGCCAAACCAGGTCACCAGCCTACGTGTATGTAGCCAGGATACTGTAGATTAGTGCTAGCACGAGCCTGAGTTCCCAAACAACTGTTACAGACAACACTGGAATCTCTAGCTACAGTTTAATCAACGGAAGAATTAGCAAGTTTATTCCTAGTCTGTGTACCTATGCAAGGGTGTTATGTGTTAAACAAAGAAGCAAGTATACTGTATTGTGGACAAAGATTCAGTCTTAACTTAGGTGTCTGTAGTGGACCAGCTATATTTATTAATACTTGTAAATGAATGTCTGAAGTCTGTCTTAAAAATATTTTCATGAAATTCCATTGGCTTGAATGTAACTGCACGAGGGGTAGTTCAGAATAGTTGGTGGACCAGAGTGCGTGCCAGGTGGGTTGGCTAAAGACAGTTATTGAACCAGGGTGCACACAATTTCCCTAATGTATGCAAATCTGGTTTTCTTAGTGCTGACAGTAGAGTAAAATTATGGGATGTGAGGAGAGCATCTGCATGTCTGAGTACGCTTGATCAGCACAATGGAGAGAAGTCCAAAGCGTCTTCTGAGGCAGGTAATATAGAATATAACTGGTAGTAATCCATATGTAACTAGAAGCATTCTTATATTTCATGAGTGTGTTCAGTACTAAGACGGACAAGGGAGAGGAGTGATAATCCCGTTGTTACCTATTGTGCAACACAGGCCGTTGAATTTTATCCAGTTACTTCTGTTGTAGAGAAAGTATTTGTCGTTGGGGATCTTGTTTAGAGTGATCTTCTAGGCAACAATATTGTATTTGTTCTAAATGGTTTTCCCCCTAAAATGGGAAATTTTGCCTTCCATTTTATGAACAGAATTAATGCCTGCTGTAGATTAGGTTTCATAGGAACCATTCCCACGTGCCTTATCACTGGATGCCTGGGAGAAGAGATCAGCAGCTCCTTCTCTGCATCCCCTCCTCAGCAATAAATAGCAATCACTTCATACTTCACAAGCTGTTCCAGTAGTTAATCACCCTCCTTTAAGAACAAAGGCAATACAAACAAAACCCACAAAAGCACCTTCCTCTTCCTGTTTAAATTAGTCTTGCTTCCAATGCAAGCATCTAGAATATTTTCTTGTATGTGGTGCCATAAAATCAATTACATTACTTTTATACTGCATAATGTATATAACAGAGTATGAATTTATGATTATATTTCATTTTACAGGAAGCTCAGTTACACTCTTATCTCGGTACAGTCAAATGTATTAATGGTGTCTTCTTGTATCAGTCATTATTAGCAACAAACATTAACATTTTGATGTATCTTCAGGTCACATTTCCGTACCTAGAAAAAACCCAAACTACTAAATTAAAGGGAAGCTTCTGAACTGTAAATTATAGTTCATGAACTTTGGTCAGTTCTGGACAAAAAATATTTAATTTTGGCAGGCAAAAAAAATACTTGAACAGTCTCTACTCTGAGGTAGAAACACATTGTGTTTGGAATTGAATCACAAAATAGAAACTGTTTATCATGACTCTAAACAAAGGGGTTTATGAAGCTAAAATCATAGTGGCTAAAGCTACAAGTCAGTCTGACTTCTTATGTGCAACTTAAATTGCATAAAGAAAAATACATGCAAAGCTCTGTAAAGTCAAAACTAATTTTCTAAAATGTACAATTACAGGTTATGAAGTAGCAGCTGTAAGTATCTGTTTTAATAGCCATGCTCTCTACTATGTAAGTTGTAATGTTGTAATATACATGTTGGTTTTGGTAATTTTAGATTTCATTGAAATTCAATAAATTAGGGAGATGAAAATGCTCTAAAGAATCTTAAGACTTATGAAAAAATATTTCTACAAATTTTGTCTTATAAAAAAAAGAAATTCTGGGTAACTCTCAAGATAAGAAGTGCCACTTTATACATTCCTTTGAATCACATGTTGTCTTGTTCGAACACAACTTACTTTTCAACTTTATTTCCCTGTCTGACAGGATATTTCTATAATATAATGGCAATCACATAGACTAGGATACTAAATACATTGAAATATAGCTGAACTAAACCAAATGCAGCTAACAAATTTTTTTTAATACGATATTTGTAAAACAGATGACACTTACTACATAAAAGATAGGTCTAAGTTGTGTACTGCAGTATAATGCAGAGATACCTTATCCATTTTAAATGAGTTAGTCTATGGGAACAATAATGAGGTTTGCTGTGGTAGCACAGAGTCATTTTTTAGCTACTTTAACATACTTAAGTGTGCAGTATTGCAGGGTGGACTCAGTGGAATTCATTTATATGCTCTATAAATAGACTAGACTAGAATATTCAGTTGAAAGGGACCTATAATGATCACGTAGCCCAACCGCCTGACACCTCAGGGCTGACCAAAAGCTAAAGCACCTTGTTAAGGGCATTGCCCGGATGCCTCTCAAGCACTGACAGGCTTGGGGCATCGACTGCCTCTCTAGGAAGCCTGTTCCAGTGTTTGACCACCCTCTCAGTAAAGAAATGCTTCCTCATGTCCAGTCCGAACCTCCCCTGGTGCAGCTTTGAACCATTCTCGCGTGCCTTATCACTGGATGCCTGGGAGAAGAGATCAGCAGCTCCTGCTCTGCATCCCCTCCTCAGGAAGCTGTAGAGAGCAATGAGGTCACTCCTTAACACCATTCTCTTCAAACTAGACAAACCAAGCGTCCTCTGCCACTTCTTATATTTCGCCACATTTGTTTCCCTCCTCTGGATGGATTCAAGGACCTTCACATCCTTCTTACATTGTGGGGCCCAGACCTGCACACAGCACCCATGATGAGGCCACACCAACGCTGAATACAGCGGGAAAATCACCTCTTCTGACCAGATGGTTATGCCGTGTTTGGTGCACCCCAGGGTGTGCTTTGCCCTCTCAGCTGCCAGGGCGCTGCTGGCTCCTACGGAGCCTGCTGCCGACCAGCACCCCCGGATCCCTTTCTGCAGGGCTGCTCTTCAGCCACTCCTCTCCCAATTTATGCTTGTGTGCAGTGTTACGGTGCAGCGTTTGGCATTTGGACTTGTTAAATGTCATGCCATTGATGGTTGCCCAATGCTCCAACCTATCTAGGTCCCTCTGAAAGGCCTCTTGTTCCTCAAGAGAGTCAACAGCACCTCCCAGTTTGCTATCATCTGCAAACTTGCTAATGATGCATCCAACTCCTGCATCCAGATCATTGATAGATATATTGAACAGAAATGGCCCTAGAATTGAGCCCCGAGGAACACCCCTGGTGACTGGTCACCAGCCAGATGCTTTATAAAACAAGAGTTAGATTATTAATTTAGTGGTATGTTACCAGCTTTGTTATCATTTAAATGGTACTTTAAGTACTAAATGTTGAAATAAAAGTATGTATACAAAATAGTAATTCTTCTGTAGAAATCTGAACCAGGTCTTTTTCCTGACAGCAAACACTGCTCACAATGGGAGAGTTAATGGTTTATGCTATACGAATGATGGACTTCATCTGTTGACCATTGGTACGGATGATCGGATGCGACTGTGGAACAGCTCCACTGGAGAAAACACACTGGTAACTTTTCAAGGATCTTCGGTTATGTTTTTACCTGCACTTAATTTTAGAAGATGTACCGTTTGTGCAATTGGCACTACAACTTTGGATATTTATTTATTTTTATAAAGGATATAGCTGCTTAATCTCAGAAGATTTTTGTGAGCATTTTTTTTTTCCAGATTTCTTTTGTTATTTCTACTTATTACAAAAAAAAACGGAGTATGAAGAAGGCTGGATATACTTAAAGACTGAATATTGTAGCTTTAAGTTCATTAATATGTGAGCATAGCCAAAACCACTTCAGAGAGTAACAAAAATCTTAGTATGCAGTTACTGTTGGTAGATTTTTTTTTTAATTATTTATTTTATTTTAACTATTAATTGTCAGCATGCTATCCACAGGGCAGCTGTTCGTACCCGAAAGTTTCACTGACTGACTGCCTGGCTTTGTTACAACTTTCTTTGTGTTTTTGTGGAATCTCTCTTGTGGAGTTCTATAGCAGTGTTTAAAAATATCTATCCCTCTACACCTGCATTCTAACCGAAGAGTAAGCTGGGAGGTTTGGAATTAAATCTCTGCTGCTGCTCCAGTCCTTTTTATGGCTTGTTTTTTGATGAGGGTTCCTGTTTTAATTTTCTGTGCAGTAAAGAAAATTGTTTCTATGTTTGTTTTGAAGGAAGAACATACTAGGTAAGTCAGTTTCCATGGGATTTTAGCCAGTCATGATGATGGTCTGTCATTACATTCAGGAAAGGAAGAAATTTTACTCTACCTTAAAAATCTTTTACTACTTCAGATTACTTTCAGAACGTAGCAAAAAGAATTCCTTATAGACTTTTAAATGAAAGGACTTTTCTATCTGCATGCTACCCATATTTGCCAGCTTGTTCTCAGCACTTCATACACAGATATCTTTCTGTCTTCAGATCACCATCGCCAAAGTAGATAATACAGTTTGTTCACTCTCCTGTCGCCAGCTGGATCACGGTTTTTTGTTTTTCTGTGCCTTTTAGTTCATTGACTTGCTTCATAGGCTATTTTTCTTATTTGGTGTGGAATAGTGTGATCCTGCCTTGTTTTTTCAAGTCCAGAATTATATTGTCCAGAATACTGTATTTTCACATGCTGTCCAGAGGTATTGCTTAAAATAATTTTAAGGCACCAGCAGACAAATAGATGCATTTACAGGTAAAACAAGTTCACACCGTGGTCCCTTTATCTCCCCTAATAGCCAGTCCTTTTGATCCCCATCATTTTTTTTTTATACCTTTTGAAAGGTATAGAAATTAAGCCATGCATGTGAGTGTTTTTGAGCATTGAGACAAATTTGGGGCCTAGTGAATTGTTTCAGTTAGTAAGATAAATGGATGTTAAAGTTGTACACATCTTGTGTACACCGTTTATCACAAAAAGAAATAGAAAGTCCTCATTCACTGAATACAGGAAGAATCAAACAGAAGGAAGCAGTTTTTCTGTTTGCATGCTCAAAGGACAAAGACAGTTTTTAAGACCATTTTGTGTTTTAGCAGCATCCTTTCCTTTCCGTTACTTTTCTATTAAGCAGGAACATTTACACAGAGTATATCCATATAATTTACTTTTCCCAGCCACCACTTCTCCCTTTCATTGTGCATGCCTTTGTTGTGAGCTGTATTGTGGCTTGGGAATTGTTGCTGTTACAGCTCGAATGCTGTGTAAAGGTCTTCAATTGCTTTTTATCGTCAGAGTAATATGCCTTTTAAAAGAAGGATTAGCACTAACAAGACTTAACACAGTCAATATTTACAAACACTGTCTTTACAAAATTAGCAATATTATCCACAAAGGATGTGACATAAGCTCGATATCTCGTGAAAATATCCTCTCAATATGAAAAAATAGCAACCTACTTGTACACTAATAAAACTCCCTTTGTATACATTTTTATGATGATTGAGAGAGATTTTTCTTAGGACTCCTTTTTATTATACTTTTCTTACATAAGTGCTCTTTGCTATGAAAGAGCATTCTTTAAAAATAGAGCAACAAGTAATCTTCCTTGCCTGGCTCATGCTGACTGATGTTTTGGACTCAGGCAATTGGTGTATTATGGGTCAAGAACCTGACAAGACATTTGTATTAGAATATTTACCTAATAAACTTTATAAATCTGTTAGCTTATAGTCAAAAGACTTCACACACCAGATTTTTTTTTTTTTTAAACTATAGGCCATAAGCTTTAGGTACGGAGCTTTAAAATTAACCCAGAGAGCTTTGCTAACATTGTACACATAAGTGAATCTGGTTTTCAGCAGAAACTAAGAGCACAGGTTGTAGGACAACACTGCTTGAAAATGAAATATTTTGTATATAATGCTGTGTAGTACTAATGAATTTAAAATACTTCATTACAGAAATACTTTTAAATCATAAAGTAATGTGTGAATTTCAGGTGTTTGTAGTAGATGGCTCCCTCTTCATTAAAAATGTTTTATTTGTCAAAATTCTAATGCTTTCTTTTAATTTTGTTTAGAGGTAAACTATACTGTTCTCAGTAATATGTTTCCATATTTTTTCATTAATACACTTCCGATGTCTGATAGGACCTAATTACTCTTATATATCCAATTGGAATATTTTCTAGCATGTTTGGAAACTCTCCACTTTCAACTTCTGGTGAGATTTTTATCTATAAAGGACTTGTCAAGAGCTTGAAATGTACAGACACTAATAAGCTATAATTCTTATACCACTTTTATTTCCAAGACTTCCCACACACCTCACAAGCCAGGTCTTAGAAATGTAGCATCTGTTTCTATCCCAGCTGCCCTTATAGGGAGCATTATGGAATTTCTTAGTGGTGATTCAGCTTTGGTTAGAAGATAGGCTTTTATATCACTCTTAATAAGTCCATAATAATTTAGCAAGTTATTCTTTATTTCCTTCTCCTTCATGAGTCTCTGTCTTTTAATCCCTTTATTTCACCGTTTACTTATGCCATCCTTCTGCTTGCCTTTCAGTTTTTTCATACTGGCTATTCACCTCCTGCTGTTTCTTGGTAACTCTGGAGGAAAGATGCAGAATCTTACCCTATGTTACAGATGTTTTTCCTTTGTTCGTTTTTCCCCAAGCAAGGGATGACTTGCTGAGAAATCCATAGGGCAAGTAGCTGTGTTGTCTAGACTGATGGTTCAATTCATTGACATCCTACTGGCATACATGTATTTTTCTGCAACATCAGTCAACCTTGATAAACAAAGGGCACTTAGAGGGTAGAAGGTAGTGTAGATCAATTTTTGTTTAATCTGTGGACTAAAGTCTTGCAGTATTGGGATCTGTATGTTTAGTATCATTGGTGACATAGACAGTGGGATCGAGTGCACCCTCAGCAAGTTTGTGGATGACACCAAGCTTAGTGGTGCAGTTGACACATCTGAGGGACAGGATGCCATCCAGAGGGACCTGGACAGCTTGAGAAATGGGCCCATGTGAACCTCAGGAGGTTCAACAAGGTGAAGTGCAAGGTCCTGCCCCTGGGTCAGGGTAATCCCTGATGTCAATACAGGCTGGGGGGTGAAGGGACTCAGAGCAGCCCTGCGGAGAAGGACTTGGGGGAACTGGTGGACAAAAAGCTGGACACGAGCCAGCAGTGGGCGCTTGCAGCCCAGAGGGCCAACTGTGTCCTGGGCTGCATCAAGAGAAGCATAGCCAGCAGGTCGAGGAAGTGATTCTCCCCCTCTACTCTGCTTGGGTAAGACCCCACCTGCAGTGCTGCGTCCAGCTCTGGAGTCCTCAGCACAAGAAAGACATGGACCTGTTGGAGCAGGTCCAGAGGAGTGCCACAAAAAATGATCAGGGGCCTGGAACACCTTTCCTATGGAGAACAGAAGGGTCTGGGGAGACCTTATAGCAGCCTTCCAGTACTTAAAGGGGGCCTAAAAGAAACATGAGGACAGATTTTTTAGCAGGGCCTGTTGCACTAGGACAAGGGGTAATGGTTTTAAACTAAAAGGGCAGATTTAGGCTAGATAGAAGGAACAAGTTTTTTAGGATGAGGGTGGTGAGACAGTGGAACAGGCTGCCCAGAGAGGCGGTAGAAGCCCCATCCCTGGAAACATTCAAGGCCAGCTTGGATGGGGCTCTGAGCAACCTGATCTAGCTAAAGATGCCCCAGCTCACAGGAGGGGGGTTGGCCTAGATGACCTTTAAATGTCCCTTCCAAACCAAACTATTCTATGATTCTAGGATTTATAAGTGTATACTGTTGTGCATAAGTAATTCTTGTAATAGTTTCAATATCTGACAGAAAATTATTATGGTAGATCATCTAGAAAAATGTTTAAGGTGGTAATTCCTGAACCAGTTTTAATTTCAGTGGTAGTTTAGATGCTCAGTGTACACCTGGCACACAACAGCTTGTGCAAACTCTTTTTCTAAATATGGAACTTCTGATTTTTAGGTCTATCTCTCCTTCCCTTTCTTAAAGTTGATATTAAGGAGGGTGAACTTCATTGAACAGAAAAATTATTCTCTTGGTAAAGATCCATAATTGGAGATCTCAAGAGTCAAGAGTTGTATTAACACTGGGAAGCTTAAAATTAATTTTATTGGGTATTAAAGAAGAAATGAAATTGACCTTCTCATGTAAAGTTATTTCCTGTAGTTTTAGTTAATAGCTAACTGCCTAATCCTTCATTTTGCAGGTGAATTATGGGAAAGTCTGTAATGAAAGTAGAAAAGGACTCAAATTCACCGTCTCTTGTGGCTGTAATCCAGAGTTTGCCTTTGTACCGTATGATAGTACCATTGCTGTTTATACAGTTTTCACAGGAGAATTGATAACTATGCTTAGAGGGCATTATAGTACTGTCAACTGTTGTGTATTTCAACCTAATTTTCAGGTAAGTAAAGTACAAACAATATTCGAGACAACTTGGAATATTTATCCAGATTGCCAAACGATTTGCACAAGAAGTGTTAACTTTTCAGGGATGTGCTTTAATCAAAGATCTTGACATAAGAGTTCAGTGGCCTATATGTCAAGCAAGAAAAGTTTGGTCAAGTGCTTGGGACAGCCTTTTCTGTATTGGATTCCTTCTACTGTTCATTTTGTCTCACATAGGTAACTTTTCAATATACCTATAGTAATTTTTTGGCTTATATTGTTACTAATAAATTGTATGCATTAAGGCTTTTCCTGTGTTCTGTGAAACGGAAGAGGAGGCATAGAAAGGTATCTCTTTCTCTGAGATATGTAAGACTAATCACAGTAAGAATGTGAAATGCATTTAAGTGAAGTGTATTTGTATTGCTGTCAGTACTGAGAAACCTCCCAGAAATAACATCACATTACAGAGACTTACGGTGCTGACAGCCTTTTTTTTTTTCTCTGCCTTTTTTTTTTCTCCTGTGGTTTATTTTTCTCTTGTAATAAAAGTCTAACGAAGCTTAATTTGTTATGAGATCCTTAATGATCCTTTGCAACAGATGGTTCTTACAGCTTCTGGTGTGGCAAGAGCAGAGTGGTTGTTAGTATGGATTTTAAGGCTGTTGCATCGTTGCCCTCAGGTGTTCAGGGATATATTTCATGCTCCTCTCATCTTTTGTTTCTGAAATACTGGGTAGAAATATGTGAGGCAGACCTTTCTGTGTGGATATCTTTTCATGCCCTCTCATACACGTATCATAGAAGCGAATCTTGTTGCTCTTTCTTTTGAGTCCAGTAACTTTGAAACAAGTTTTCCCTATCACTGAAATGGACTTCAGTCAAGGTTTTGAACACATTGCAGATGGGGCAATAGAGCCCAAGCTAGTAGGGCTTACTAAACCTGGAGAGCAGTTCTGGCTTGAATAGGCAGTGAGATACTAGATCCACTAAAAGGTGGAATATTCACATTGTAGCTAAGGCACATCATTTCTGGACTATTCTTGGCTAGCTTAAGAAGCCCTTTGTGTTTTTAATTTCCCAATAAAAGTGCTAATGTGTTTGTATTAAGTCATCTTTGATGTTCATTTTGATAAGCTTGAAAAGGTGAGGCTTAATAATCTCACTGTAAATCATGTTTTCCAGCCCCAGAAATGGAAATCTCTTTATAGTCTCTGTCTTGGCTTTTAAGATCTTTAGAATAGGATCATTCATGTGTGAGCATGCACAGAAGTACTGCTTAGGATGAAGGTGGTGAAACACTGGAACAGGCTGCCCAGATAGGCAATAGAAGCCCCATCCCTGGAAACATTCAAGGCCAAGTTGGATGGGGCTCTGAGCAACCTGATCCAGCTAAAGATGTCCCTGCTTATTGCAGGGGGTGGGACTAGATGACCTTTAAAGGTCCCTCCCAACCCAAACTGTTCTATGATTCTATGTTTACTGTTGGATCTAATAAGCTAGATAGCATTGTACCATACTAGCTGCTTAAAATAATTTAAGTAAACAAACAAAACCTACATTTACCTTTCAGAAAAAGAAATGGAGTAAAGCACGTGCATAAATAACATGTCATAAAATATTAGGTGTGCATCGGGAAGTAATTTTGCTTTGAATTTTAGCTGCTTCTGTTGTTCAAGAAATGCCAGTGGCATCTGCAAAAGCATTTGGCAAAATCCATTGTCGGGCTAATAAGTAAAGATAACTGAAAGGTAAATTAGGTTTTGCTTGCAATCTTTCCTCAGTCTTAAAGCATAATATTTCCATATATTGTACTGTAAACATGCATGGAGCATGTTTGTAGTACAATATGCCCTATACACTACCATAAACATGCATGGAGCTCACTGGCACTTCTTTTGATGGACTTAAGGTATGAGACACCTTTTCAGGTTGTAATAATTAATTGTTGGTATTAATCAATGGAGTGGATATGAACTGAAGGTCTTGCAATGCCAGGTTTAGATAGTCAGACAAGTGGTAAATGGAAGCATGCTGATGTTACTATGACATTGCTCACAAGGAGAGATTTTGGCATGGGAAGAGGTTTTAAAGTTCTATTGATATTCTGGATCCTGTCAAAGACAGGAGGCCTGAGTAGAGTACTGCTGACAGGGTAAAGTGGGATTTGACCTATACCTTGCTGTTATTTCAACCTGTCTTCCTTTAAGCAAGATAAGTAGGATGTTTCTCTGATAAAATTATAAACTCTGATCTTGTGTCTTTTGCATGAACAACATCATGCACGGGACCCGTTTTACAAAAGTGTCAGCTCTCTTGAATAAGATTACCCACGTAAATGACATCTATAGGAATTAGGTGTTAAGTTCCTGCACCATCAGTGTAATTCCTGCAGTTTTAGAATTAAATATACATAATATAGGAGACTTTCTGTAAAGACAGAATTGTAATAATTTGTTGAATTTCTGTTGAATCAACATGTTAATAATGTGCACATATGCACAGAGTGGCTATTTAAGTGTAAAAGCCAACATCTTCAAAGCAAGTCCTCCATACTGTCTGCCTGACTACAGAAAAAATACTTTCTCTGTTTTCCTCAGACAGTTTAAATGCATGTCAATACTCAAGTGTTGTCAGACCTCACATATGATACACAGGAGTATGATTCAAGATTGAAGGCATATGAGAATATCTGCATGTATGTTTATTTAAGTAGCACTTTGGAAAATAGAAGCATTATTAGTGCAAAATTTACTGCAAAGATGTGCAGTATTTTTCATTAGCAAAATTTCCTCAATTTAAAGTGACAGAGTAGTCTGTGTTTCTTTAATAAAGAACTGAGAAAACTAAGCTATATTTGACTGTTAGCTGTTTGGTGTAGAGAGTGTTTGCTTCCATGTGTTTGCAGGGTGCCTTGCACAGTGGGATCTCAGTCCTTCGTCATTACCATAGTAGAGTTATTTATATTAAAAATAATAAATTGGTCTTTCTGATCTCTGCTTTCCCAACAGGATACAGGCTTCAAATTTTTCTTATTTGTTCTTTTCCTTCCCTAGGCATACTGAAACTACATTTACTTAATGCTTCTTTGTTCCATACATATGCACATGTATTACTAGATGCTTTTGAGTTGATCCTTAGTTTTTTGTTACAATAAAAAAATCTCCCCCCCCCCCATCCCCCCCCCTTTTTTTTTTCTTGCTTCTACATTAAACGTAAATCATCTCTTAAGCTTCCTGGCTGTTAAAGGAGGTGTCTTTTCGGGAGACATGAGAGAGGGAAGAAGAAATGTGCATTTAAGCAATAAAGTTCATTTAAATGTGGGTAATGCTGTTTTGGTGAGCACTCTGGACAAAATATGAAAACTTACTCATTTTGTTTTGGCATATTTAAAATGCTGTTTATCAAGATGTAGTACAAATTATAAATTGTGTATTTATCTTAATTTTTAAGTATTTCATACACTTTTTTTTCTCAACACTATTTCTGTGTCACTGTTCAGTAAATTTGTGTATAAATTTTTGCTTGCTTGCTTTCTTGAAGGAACTTTATAGTGGTAGCAAAGATTGCAATATCCTGGCATGGATACCAGCTCTTCGAGAGCCAGTTCCTGATGACATGTCTGAAAAGGTAATGAATTTGTGAGTTTGAACTATACTTTTTATGGCTGTTATACTTGAGGAGGTGGTGTGGAAATTAAATATGAAATATGTGCTTCACTATCAATATTTGTAACAATTCCTAATTAAGAGGAGAATCCTGTTGTTTCTGTGCAATGGTGTGATTGTTGAGAGGACATTTTCTTTGATAGTAAAATCTTTTGTAGACTTGTAGCTTCTCACTTATTTAAAAGTAGTACTTGTCATTTGGCTGTCAGCCTTTCAACTTCTACTTTAGCTTCCTTAATTTTCAAACTGTTTTCTGTATTTTATGCTATTTTGGAATTGGAAAGGTGCCAAAGATTGTATTTTAAATTGTTTAAGAATATACTGTGTATTAAACAGCAAGATTAGGGATGCCACACTTCATAACCAAATATTTTTGATGCAGAAATGTAATAAAGATTCTAAATGAGCTTTATTTTAGTGTCTGAGGCAGGACGTTCAGGCAATTACAGGGAAGATCTTATGCTTTCCAAAAGAGTACTTTCTCTTACTATTAGAGCTGGGCAATAAAAATTTTGGTGAATAGTTTGGGGTGGAAAAATTCTAGATTTTTAAGGAACTAGAACAATTCACAATATCAGAGTCTGGCAAACTTCTGATGTTAAAAAATCAGGATATATTAATTTTTTGTCTCAGAGAATACAAAAATTGTATTTTTTAAAATTGCTGAAATGTTCCATTTTAGATGGGGGAATGATAAGGAGCACAATTTTTTTTTTTAACATTTGCTTTGCAAGACAACTTTATTTCAGAACTGTCTTATGCTTAAGCAGAGAAGAAAAAACAAGTAGTTTCAAAGGTTAGATACCCTAAACCCATTATCAGTTGACCTGGAATGAGCATTTTTGCTGTAACTGAGAATTTTGATGTGTATGAATTGATTTTTCTTAGTCTGAAAAAGAAAAACAAATCCACAGCAACAAGATTATTTACCCAGCTCTAATTAGAACTGCCCCTTTAAATTTGAAATGTTGGAGATATGTAATATGGGCCATTGTTTTGAAATCTGTTAAGCTACAGCTGCTGCTTGCAGATGCTGTAGATGAGCACTGCCTCTGAAAGAAGCAGTTCTGCTGTCCACAGGCCACTAGTTCCTGCTCCCTCTCATGTGCTATAACAGCCACTTGAGTGCCTTTATGACCAGAATCTGAACCCAGGGTAGAAGTAAACAAGAAAAAAATGTTACCCTGAGTTACTGTAGTTCAGTCTGCACAAACCCTTCAGCTTGACTCTAGGGGGGCTGAGGTGAGAGTTGCTGGATGTGGATAGAAGCCAGGACTACTTCTTGAGACAGTAGGGCTCAGTTATGCTGGGCCAAGGAAATTATGACTTAAAACCAATGACACAAAACAAACACAGTAATATCTATCTTTTATATTTTTTACCAGACTTTTGTAAAACTTCAGTCAGTGCTCCATATATTTTTTGCTAAAGTGGGAATAGAGTACTATTTCTTTTCAGAATTTGTCCTGTCTCTAATCAGCAGAATGGCCAAAGAAGTGGTTTTAAAAAAAAAAACTAGTACCCATGAGAGGCACAATAGTTTGTCTATGTATAGTAATTTAAGAAATGCCTATAGCATTGCCCTTATTTGATTTTTAGTATTTTTAATTAAGCAAACCACTGAGAGAACTTTTATTTTCTTTAGTCTCTGCCACAACAGCATTTAAACCCAGCATATGAAGACGCATGGAGCAGCAGTGATGATGAAGGCTGAATTTTAATTATATGCTGATGTAATATTGACATTCAGGCACTGTGTTCACAGACTTTATCTACAGAATTTGCAGATTTATTACAACTGGATTTTTGGTACAGTTCTGTTACAGCAAGGTCTTTCAGAAATGTTTCCACTGTTCTCTATGTTCTTTCTTCACTGATACAGTTAAATCTAAAAGATTACTTTTTCATCCTTACTGACTTTTATATTTACCTTTACAAATTGGTATACTTTATTCGGTGTTGAACAGCTGATAAAGGAAAAATAAAAGCTCTTGGGACCAGTTAGTATTGCATTGTTTCTGGTATCATTAATACATAAGGAGATAATCCCTTCTTTTCCAAGAAACATAATACAGAGGATTTTGCCTGAAGGATGACTAGCTCAGGGATACTTCCAGCTTATTTTTATCAATGTCTAGATGCAGCAGACTGCATCTATTTTCAAGTGGTTATGTGCTGTGGGAGCCAAGAGGATTTTGTGCCTGTTCTTTTGCATTTTCAGATTTGCATAAGTTTCTCCATAAACGTAGTATTCAGTTCAGAAAGAGGTGTAGCTGGGATCGTGTTTTCAAGTATTCATATAGTGACCCCATAGTATCTGAATCTATCCCAGAAAGTTAAAAATAGAAAGCAGTTTAGAGGTTTTGTTAGTTCTCTTAGCAAGTAAGATCAGTCTTCTGTGTATGATTATCTCATGCTCCACTAGCCTGTGTGAAGAATTCCTGGACAGAAACAGGCTTGAGGTACAGTACAAGGCAGAGAGTGGATCACATTTCAAGTTAGAAGTATTGAATGTAGTCTTTCAAAACTGTTTTCGTCTGAATTTGTGGTCCTAATGCCTGCTCTGTTTTGAAAGGGAGGTACTTTGTGGGGTTCTTGTCTCATTTCAACCTCTAGTTTGTGCTTCAGACATAGTGTAGTCACCAGGCTGAGTCCTGAGTTAGAGGTTCCCATCAGATGTAGATGCAGCTCTATAGAGGAAAAATTCCTTCCAAAGCGGAGCAGATATTAGGACCACAAATTCTGACAAAAAAAATATTGTACAAATAAATGAAAGATAATAATTTAAACTTTGTATAGTGTGTATTATTTCTATGATTAGTATGCATTTTAGAATTAATTCACTGTGATTCTGTTATTTCAATATCTTTACAAGATATAGGCTGTCAGTTTCTGTATCAGTCTAAAGTCTAGCTTTGTAAAATTATACAAAGTGATAAGTGGGCATATCAAGGGAATGTAACAAGCTCCGTATGTAGTGCATATTTGCTAGGAGAGACCCACTATTAAGCAGATAGCTACAGGGTGGAAGACTTTCAGACGTTTCGGCTGAAGTTTCAGACCAGCCTGACACTGTCACTTTACAGGAATAGAGAAGAGAATTTTCTATTTTTTTAAATTTAATTTAAATATTTTTCATTAGCAATGGCGGCTGTTCACTCTAAAATCAGAAAAACTGGGGAACAAATTTGAAGAAAGTTTACATATATTGGTTTTTGTCTTGAAGAGGATGGGTTTTTTTGCCTGGTATAATTCTGCTTGTCACTTGCCAACTGCAGTGCAGGTATTTGGTATTTGAGTTTCTAAAAATATGCTCAGCAAATCATAGAGCTAGTTATCAAAGAATAAATGCATTTTTTTAAATTGTTTTTCAGTTATTCTGTAATGTGACTATAAATGGTGTTCATTTTAAAGCAAACAAACAAAAAACCCACAAAAAAACCCACCAGCTCTATGGTGGACTGGTAATGGTATATAAAATGGGAGAGGTAGAAAAGTTACATTTTTCAATAAAGGTGAGAAATCATAAAAATTAAACCCATAAATAAGAATGTTGCATTAACTCTCCTGTTTTTTGGAATGGCCTTTCTCAAATGAGTTCCTTCTCTGTGCTTTGAGTACAGTTATTGAGATTGGAAGGGATGACTGGAAGTGATCTAGTCCAACCTCCCTGCTTAAAATATGGTCACCTGAAGCAGGTTGCTAAGGCTTGTGTCCAGTCAGGCTTTGAGTGTCTCTACAACGTACAAACCTATTCCAGTGTTTGAGCATTCCTAGAATAAAAGTTTCTTCTTGGATTTAAATGGAGTTTTCTGTATTTCAATTTGCACTCATTGTATCTTGTCCCATTGTTGGATACCACTGAGAAGTCTGACTTCCTCTTCACTACTGTCTCTTTTCCTGGCCCCATCATATATTTCTACACATTATTGAGATCCCCCTGAGCCTCTTCTTCAGCCTCTCCAGGCAGAACAGCCCCAGATCTTTCAGCCTCTCTTCATAGCAAGGTTCACCTCCCTCAACCTGCTGACAGCACTCTTCCTGATGCAACCCAGGATGCTGTTGTCTGCCTTTGCTGCAAGGGCACATCTCTGGCTTCTGGTCACTTCAGTGTCCACCAGGAGTGCTGGGTCCTCTTCCACCAAGCTGCTTTCCAGCAGGTTGGTCCCTGGCCTCTTTTGGTCCATGGGCTTTTTCCTCTCTGGGTGCAGGATTTGGCATTTGCTTTTATTGAACATCATGAGATTCCTGTTTGCCTGTATGTCCAGTCTGCTGAGGTCCCTCTGAATGGTGGCAGCACAACCATATGGTGTGTCAAGTGCTCCTCCCAGTCTTGTTATCATCTGCAAACCTGTTGAAGGCACATTCTGTTCTATCATCAAGGTCATTAATGATGTTAAACAGAACTAGATCCAGTACTGAACCCTAGGGTACGCCACTAGTGACTGGCCTCCAACTGGACTTTGCGCCACTGATCACAACCCTCTGAGCCTGGCCCTTCAGTCATTTTTTGACATCTCTGTCCACTTATCTAATCTGTGCTTTGTCAGCTTGTCTTCAAGGGTGTTTCAGCAGACCATCAGGAGCCTCGGTAAATTAATGGTAGACATCATTCCCTGTTCTCCACTCGTCCACCAAGCTAGACACTGTTGTAGGAGGCTATCAGGTTGGTCAGGCATGATCTTCCCTTCATAAATGTATGCTGAGTTATCTTCTTGTCCTTTATGTGTCTGGAAGTGGTTTCCAGGATTATTTGTTCCATCACCTTCCCAGGGATGGAGGTGAGTTTGACTGACCTGTATTTTCTGTATCTTCCTTCTGGAAGATGTGGGTGACCTTGGCTTTCTTCTGGTCCTCAGAAACCTCTCTGTGAGCTTTCCAAGGCAATTGAGAGTGGTCTTGCAATGACATCAGCCAGTCATGGGTGCATACAGTCAAGCACCATGGACTTGTGTGTGTCCAGTTTGTCTAAGTGTTCTCTAACTGATCCTCCTCCACCAACGATACGCCTTTCTTGCTCCAGACTTTCTAGTGGTCTCAGGGACCTGGGATTGCTAAAGTCCAGCCTTACCACTAAAGACCGCAGTAAAGAAGCAGTAAGTACCTCAGCCTTTTCCATGTCCTTTGTCTCCAGTTCCCCTGCCCCATTTAGCAGTGGGCCCACATTTTCTCTAGCCTTCCTTTTCTTGCTAATGTACCTGTAGGTTTTAATTTTGTGTTTCACATTCCTCACCAGATTTAATTCCAGATGGATTTTGGCTTTCCTAGCCCTATCTGTGCATGCTAAGACAGTTTCTCTATATTTTTTTCCCTACTTCTACCTCTTGTATGCTTCCTTTTTTGCATCTTGAGTTTTGTCAGGAGCTCCTATTTCATTGCGTGCAGACATCCTTCCACCTTTGCTTTATTTCCTGCATGTGGGGATGGACCATCCTTGAAAATCAGCCAGCTCTCCTGGACCTTCCTCATCAAGGCCATACCCCATAGAATTCTTCCAGACAGAACCCTGAATAGAGATCTATTTGAAAATGTGGAAACTTTCCTCTGTGCTTTTACGGGGCTCATCTTCATACTATTGCTAAATAACTTTGCGTATCAGTTTTGCATATGTTGCATCATGAACACAATGTAGGATTTGGCTCAGGAAGTACTTATCCACCCAGACACATTTCAATTTAGTGTTTGAAGCTGTCCCAAACAGTTGAAAGTAGAAACTAGTTATCTTGGGGGGGCTTATTGCTCCTACTAACAGCTAGTATCTTCTACACAGCAATCTTTTTCAAAATTCTCTTCTGGTATCAGTTGATGATGTCATTACTCTCCTTCTTGACTGTTGTCCTCTGCTGGAAGGACAGGCATTTCTGGTGAGGGAAGTTGCATCTGTGTCTCGTCTAGGCAAGAATCTAGGCACATTCTAAATCACAGAATGTTAGGTGTTGGAAGGGGCCTTGAAAGATCATCTAGTCCAACCCCCCTGCCAGAGCAGGAACACCTAGAGTAGGTCAGCACCTGCAAACCTTCCATTTAATGGCAGTAGCTGACAGGTGGTGTTTAGTTTGCAAGGTTTGAAACGTCTTGGTACTAGCAAGTATCTCAAACACCAATTTCTGTGAAAATTCCGCTTCGAATAATGGAATGTATGTTACGATTTCCTTCAGTACTTCTGTTTTTCTGCAGATGTGGTACATTTGTTATTTACATTTTTTTCTAGGAAAAAAGATTATTTTATTTCTGCTCGTTCTTATGGTGGCTGTACTTAATTACTAAGTAAAGTGTTGGTATCTTCAAAATGAAAAATTTTAAAGAGCAGCAAAGGTATGTTGTATATTATTTTTCACTGGAAAGAACCAAGTACTAAGCCAACAGTGTTAATTGCAACTGTGCATCTCTTGTTTGTGTGTAAGTTAAATGTGATAATTAAATCTGAGTCTTCCCCTTCATTTATGCCTATTCAGCTTCTGTGCTCATAGCATGTATCTTTATAGTATCAGAGCTCTTTCAGAACCAGAAATGTAGCAAGTGAGGTAGTAGAGACTTAATTGCACTCCCTTCTTATGTCAGTCAGAAAAAGAAACAGATTTGAGAATCGGGTCGGGTGTGCTGTATTCATGTTGAAATAAAGTTGTCCCCTTGAGAGGCAACTAGCTAATAGCTGGATTCTAAGCTCCTGTTAAAAACAGTAAGAAAATTGAGAGTTTAAAGAGAGAGCTTAAGCTGGAATGGACTGCACTCATCGCAGTAGTGATACTGGGATTTAGTAGTCATACTCTGTATCAGAATGCATAAAGAAGTGCTTTCATCTCTTCAGGCTGTTCTGGGAATTGACTGTTGCTTAGAAGACTTGCTTTGCCTACCAAGGCAGAGATTTTTCTTTGAGCTTTATACAGCAGGTACCAAAAGAGGGAAAATAATTTATTTGTTCTTACTAGAGATGAAAGAATTTCCTTTCCCTTCTAGCCTAAGGAAACCATGGAGGTGGGAAGCCCAGCTGAAGAAATCCAGAG